TACTACTCTTAAAACCTTTTTCATTTCATATTTTTGGCATGTGTTGTGATTAATCGATCACAGTTTGTTTTTGAAATCAAACTTTATTGTCGCCAATATTCACTCATTTGCATTTCATTTACAAAAACTTTGATTTATTCGCAAAATTACTAAATATGACTTATGACTATTATGATGTTTGCAAATAGAAATGATGAATATGATGAATATCAGAAAAATCTTGATTAACATGCTTTTGTTAATTTTTATAATAGTATACATCCGAATAACATTTCACCGTCTATAAAGTATAAATATCTGATAAAACAAACGTTAAAAATATCTCATAATATGAACGTTGATGAGGAAGCGATTGAGTTGGGGAAATATAGTATAACATGGAACAGCGATGTATGTGTATAAGGTGGGGTCTAAAGTAATGAAGACTTTTCAAACATAGTGAGGGTCAACTATTAGCAATTACATGAGTTGATGACGTAGGTCCATTATTGATTTAATATCGATAATTCTTGAGTACCAATATATTTGTGTTATTGCCACAATAAACACAAAAATTCTTCGATGTTTATCTTTATCCTTATTAGAACTTTAACAATATACAATGGAGATTTGTATATTTTCCTATAATAATTTTATTTATTTATTGACAAGAAAACGTAGAGTTCTTGTAGTAACTTTAACAAGGACTATGTAGATCTGCTTAGATTTGTTACGATCGGTTATGATTCAACAATAAGACATATGATTATAATAGGTGCTACCATAAAAGAAATCACAGAACATATATTACAAGTATGTCACCGACAAGTTCTCTCCAGACAAAGAGTTAACTCAAGATCAACTTAGACAAATGAAAATTTATATATAAAAGTTGATTAGGATTAATAAATGAGATGAAGAAACTTTCTTTAGTTTCTATTCAAATATCTTTCTTCTATTTATTTACTTTATGTCAAAAATAGGTGGTAAGTCCCAATTGTTCTGGAGCAGAGTTCTTACTAAAGCTAATTATAGTAAAAATAAAATAATAATTCACTCAGTACATTATTTAATCAAAAATATTTTATTAAAAATGATAAAAATTTTTTGTGTTTCTAAATAATTTGCAACAAAAAAGAGAACAAGTAATGCCGGCAAAAGAGAACTCAAAGTTTATTCAACCGACTTTTTGAATAGCACATGTAACCATAAAAGTACAACTAATTAATAATAAAAAAAGTTTGAAATATGGCAAATGGCCAATAATTACTTTATGGCCGGCCGGCTGTGTAGTGTTCACCGCTGTTCGTAGTATTGTGTGCAGTTTTTAAGTATCTTATGTTCTTAAAGACGAAACATATTCTTTCTGTTAAATAAAAATCAAAAAGTATGTCTTCTAAATTAGTTTAATAATATTTTTTCTTCTTTTACTCTATTTTCAGTTTTTATTTATTGCCACAACTGTATCCTATTTCAAGATTCTGCATACTTTAGTCTAGTCCATAGCACACACTCCCTTTCCCTAGAACACAGTAGTAACCTCTAATAAATATGAGTAAAAAGCCTGCTGTTGGACCCGCGCTGCATAAGGTGATTATGGTGGGCAGCGGTGGTGTGGGCAAATCAGCGCTGACGTTACAGTTCATGTACGATGAATTCGTAGAGGATTACGAACCAACCAAAGCCGACAGTTATCGAAAAAAAGTAAGTTGGACATAATTTTTATTTGTAATTATTGAATAAAATATGATTTTTGGATTAGGTTGTTTTAGATGGCGAAGAAGTACAAATAGATATACTGGACACAGCTGGTCAAGAAGACTATGCTGCCATAAGAGATAATTACTTCCGCAGTGGCGAAGGTTTTCTTTGTGTTTTTTCAATAACAGATGACGAAAGCTTCCAAGCTACACAAGAATTCAGGTGAGATACAGTTCCAGATCTCAATAATTACTAATCATAATAATTTAATAATAATAATTTAAGATAAAGTTAACATTTTTTATGTTAATAATAGTAATGCAATTTTATTTTTTTATTAATTTGTATAATAATGACGACGAATTCATATCCACTTATAACTATTAGTATGACACCCATAATTAGCATATGTGCATTATGTGTGTAATAAATTATTATGTTGTTAACTCAACTATTTAATAAATTGAAATCTTTTTTATTATTGAAAAGAAGGGATCGTGCTCTGCTACCTAAAAGATCTATTGTATACCATAGACGGATTAGAGTGTTTCTCCAAGTCCGATTTATTTAATGAAAGATAGTATAGAGCCTATCTTTTCTAATCTTGAAGGCTTATGATCCATGAAATACCCACCTAGGTATTTCTTCCGCTTGTGCATCAGTGCCGGGCACTCTCAAAGCACATGAAATGCAATTTCTCTCTCTTCTCTACACTATCTGCAGTCTGAGTTGGATTGAATTCCTAACTTCAATAGGTGATTATTCAATCTACAGTGACTGGTCAATAATTCCGTAATAATTTTATATTTTTTATACAAAATTATTAGTCAACCCGGACATAAGTATTCTCTATCACATGCAAATATTGTGCCTTTTCCTGTAAGGTAGACACTCTGCCACCGATTGTTGTTACAGCAGACGGACTCACACTAGTTGGCTGGAAACTCACACACATTTTTTTAAAGGTGTGTTGTGTAATAGAAAAAAAATTCTCATTAAGAAAGCAGTAAATAGATATATGTGTGTGAAAATAAGGAATAAAATGCAGCCTTAAGAATACTGTACAGCCCTAAAATGTTAATGTGCATAAAACACGAACCTCCGCTTCACTTCCTACTATCAAAGACATTAAGGCCAAGTAATATTGATTCATTAGAGTGTAGTTGGCACACAGCTGGTGTCGTATATTCATTACTATAAAATAGCGTAGATGTTAGTGAATATTTGCAAAAGGTTGGGGAGAATGGGCATCACCTCCACACAAAGGCCACATTACTGTCATCAAAAGACTATCAGCATAAATTACGAAAATAAAGCAACAGGTTTAGGGGGCACTCATTTCACTATTTCTTTATGATTACTATGATGTATGCTGAGTTGACTTTGGTTTGTAATTATCTTATTAAGTTAACATTATTTAAATATCTTACAAAGTATATTTTTATTATTCGTGCTATCCGCACATTTAACAAAATAACTGAGTGGAGTGAATCATTTTCGTTACGAATACGTAGTGTTGACTTGTTCACACATTACATATACGACCATTGCGTGAAAAATACTGAACACGAGTAATTCTTATCATTTGCCCGCAGGCCGTATTATTGACATATAATAAAAAAATGTCTAATTTAGAGCATATGTACTCATTGTATTGTATAATACTAATATAGCGGAAATTAAGTTAATCTATATAATTCGCCAACCGTTCTTATCAGTTCACTCTAGGGCAAATTGACACATTGTCTGTCAGTTGTGTGTGGGTAGATCTTTTTATAACTGTGAATAATAACGTCAATGGCATTGTTTATTTTAAGATTAGTTTCACAATTAAGAAATGAAAAAACATAATTACTTTCTATATAATATAATAAAAATAATTGCCATATCTTTTTAGAATAATATTTAAAAAATTTCGTTGTGAGGTACCAATGTCTCTTTGTAGTTTTAGAGTAACGTAAAGGAATCGCTTCTATATATTAATTAGTTTATAAATTAATTAATTAATTATCAATTATTTAATCGTTTTTAAAATAAGAAACTCTAACGTGGTACAAGTAAATTAAATGTCTAAACTTGGTAATTATTTTATAGGTTATATCGTAGCCTATGTTATTAACACAGGTCTATATCAAATCACTTTTTTATAATTATCTGTTTCAATTTATACTCTCTTTAATTACAACGTATCTATATCTATCTATATTTTGCTACTCTTTCTTCTACAACATTCTTTCTATTATTGTTGCTGTAATCTGTACTGGAAACCTGTCTTCCTTCTTGTTGTCGTCTAGAAAGAGAAATGGCTCCATGACGTATATCCGATTGCTTCTGCAACTAATTCAAAATTAATTTCATATACTTCTTAATTATAAGAACTATAATCTGTCAATTTTTCAAATGTGTTAATTTTTACGGGCAATCTGAATTCTATATGGGCAATATGTTGCTAGTCATGGGTAATAAGTCATGGTGTAATCAATGCAAACATTATATCGACTAATTGGGGTGAATGACATGTAACGATTTTTTATTAGTGAAATCAATATAATAAGTTAAAAAGTCCATGTCTGGGGGAGTAAGTGATATCGGCTTATAGAGTAGTGAAAAAGATTTTTTAAAATAGTCGATTCTACTAAAACCTTTTATCAAATCGGCGTAACCATAAAATTGAAATGGTAGCACTTTATCTATTTATTTTTTGATTTTATTATGTTCTTATTCAAGAAATGTACTTTAAAGTTTCTTATTTTGTTTGTATTTGTTGTCGTTCTTATTCTGCGAATATTTCCTAATTTTTTTACTCATTTTCTGTTCTTTGATTATAAGGAAATGTATCTAGTATTGTTAATTGACTTTTGAACAGCATTTTGGTTTATTGACAGCATTATTTTGTTGTGTTTATATTTGGGTTATTTTTCAAGGATTAAATCTATTAGGTTACAATGTACTAAAATATTCCATTCTAACACGAACACTGTTAGTGTTTCATTTTGAAGCTGCTGCATCCTTCCTTTTGTGTGAATGACTTTGATAATCGATTATTGAATCATAAAAACACACTAAATTTTATTGTTTGAAAATAAATAAAATAAAATAAAATAAAAACTGTTTTGTAATACTTTTGTTCCATTTAGTTAATTGTTGATATGAAAATATTTTCAGATATGACGTATGCACAATAAAATTTTAATTTTATGCATAATTAAGTAAACTCAAGAAAAAAATCTTGAAATCAATTAAGTACACGAACCGACACTTGAGTCAGTTTTCCGCAGAAAATAAAATTTTTGCATAATTGTGAGATATTTTTCCTTCTCTGGAAGATCAAAACAAAGATTATTCATTGTATGCACGTCGGTTTGGGCATTTGTTGTTCAGATTGATGTATGCTTAGAAGAGGCCTTAGAGGCATGCATAACAGAATAGTGTGAAGAAAATTGCGTATGTGAGAACAGGCACTCGTAGTCTTACTCGGACGGACATGCAATTAACTACGAATTGCAGTATCCGTTGCGTGGCATTAAATTTACGAATGCACAATTTCGCAAGCATAATATATGCAAGCAGCATTTCACTAATTCGACGAAGCACAGATGCAATTGTTGTGGACAACAAAATGCAAGCAATCAAATACAGCTTGCAACAGTACAAAAGTACTAAAATTCGATGTACCAGATTATTTTTTTTTTTTCTAAATGTATATATTAGTTTCTGTTTCTTTTCTGATTTCTAGCATTCATAAGTTCTGTAGTTTATCTATTAATAATTTCTATTTCTATCGTATAATATAAAATCCAATTATTAATACAATATCACTTTTAATTTTCACTGAACAGGGAACAAATCTTACGTGTTAAAAACGATGAAAGCATACCGTTCCTGTTGGTGGGCAACAAATGCGATTTGAATGATAAACGTAAAGTGCCGCTCAACGAATGCCAGACACGCGCCCAACAGTGGCAAGTGCCGTATGTGGAAACTTCTGCTAAAACACGCGAAAACGTCGACAAGGTAATCCAAGAAAGTTTTCAGTATTTTATATCATAAAATAAAATATGTTTATACATAGAATTAGTAATAATAATAAGAAATTGATTGATAATCAATTCGATAAGTTTTTCCCGCCAGTACCACCAGATCCTCCTTCGCGCACTCCTTTAATTCTGCATACATCTATCATTATTATTTTTTTTGTTAATGACCAAACTGCATCCTTTGCAGTATGGTTGGTATAATTTTTTTGTTGCAATTTGTATTTGTTGTTGTTGTCCTTGTATTGTGTTTTGTTTGTTTATTGTTACTTTTTGTTGATACTACAAACGCAAAGCAAAAATTCAAAAAAAAATTTTTTTTATTAAAAGTCCTTTAACATCCTTAATATATATAATATACGTCACGCTCGCTCACACACCCAACACAAATATATGCAACATTTTAGCCATAAGTTGAGCTTTATAGATACCATAGATCCATTTAGTCATATTGCTAGATACTGTACAACGCATACATTTATATATTAGATGTAAATGTTTTCATTTATAATTAAAATAAAACATAGTTTATAATTTATGTTTATAATAATTTATGTTTATTTATTGCTCTTAAAAATATTTGATATTTGTTTAATAAACTCTATTATTTGATATTAGAAACTTTATGTTCATTTACTTTATGTTAGCACTTGTGTTAGTCAGACAGTATAGAATTAATTATTATACGTTAATTTTATTTGTTGTTTATAATTTTTTATATTAAATGAATAGTAAAACTTTTACTGTTAAAAAGGAGAGATAAATGATTATACAGAATATTTTGTTAGAATTATAACAAAATATTTATCTACAGATTCTACACTTATTCATAACTTGTACATAGATATACTCTAATGACATCTAAGAGAAGAATTAGTTGTATGGTCTGAAAGAGTAGAAATCACGAATAAAATAGTACTGTAGTACGACAGAGTTAAAGAAGATTTTAAATTTAAATAATAATAAACTAAAACCAGAGTTAAGTGATGTAGGTAATATCGTTATTATTATTGAAATTAAAAGTAAGGATTTTTTAAACTGTTGTTGTATATGCAAGTTGTAATAGAACAAATCTACCAAATATTGGAGCAACGCTGTTTAAAAATATACCACAAAAGAATAGATTCTCTTCGACATTCAATAAGGAGTAGTGTCAATCTGCTTGCAATTTATTGTTTAATAGTTAAATGCGAGACTATCATCGGTATCCATTAGATTCTTTCCGACATTCAATAAGGAGTGGTGTCAATTTGCTTGCACTTTATTATTTAATAGTTAAACTCACGACTATCATAGGTACCCATAATAGAGGAAATGATTAAATATTCATAAGATTATTTTGCGGTTCTCGTCCTTAGAAGAAAGAGAACTTTTTCTACTCTGGAGTAGTGGCAGTCATTAATTCTGTCAACTTAATATGACTGTTAATGTATGTATTAGAAATTAAAACCAAATGGTTTACTATTGATGACCCTGGGCCCAATTTTATTGCTAAAATTTTTTCCAACTTTACGAACTCTAAAGCCTCTAAGCATTTTAATAGTGCAGGACATTAACATAGGAGATGCTTCAAAGTCTCCTTTATTTCGAACTCCCTTCATTTCCTCCATATGTCACTATTGGTAATTCTTATTTTGTACTTTTATGGCACTAATAGGCGGTTGCTCGTCAGCGTACCTATGATAGTTCTACAATTGCTTCTGTGTCAGTTTCAATAACTTTCGTTGTGGGGCTGCTGTAGTAATAATAATAACAATAAAATGTGTAATGTATCGATTGATTCATCGACTTATTTTAATTTTTTCAAACGGACTGTTGTATTGTTTTTACTATCAAATTATACAAACAAACGGTACAAAATATATTCACTGCTTATAATTAGCCTAAGGTTTTCCAATATTTCGCAGGTGTGTATCACCACTCTTAAAAGGGACATAGAATGTAAAAAAAGTTTATTTATTTGTGAGGTAGTTATGTGTGAATTAATTGCATTTAACTGATATGCGACTAGCTAGATCTGAGAGATTTTTAAGATATATAATACCCATTTTTTTTATTTACTATTAATTAAAATGTGACATAATGCCAATATAAATTTACCACTTTAATTAGGCGACATAACTAAGATGACATATATCAAAGGAACGCATAACTATTTTTTATATCTTCGATAGATTACAAAAACAACAACAACTAACTAACTTTTGACATGTTTTTCGTAAAATTTTTTAGATGTTCATAATAGGTTTAATTTTAAATAGTCATTCTAATATAATATATTTCTACTAATTGCGTATATATGTATATTTATGAAGCATATTGTATAACTATTTTCATATCTTAACATTTATTTTATTTTATTTAATTTATTAATTAATCTTTTTGTTACTTTGCGAACGTTGAACTATTCTGATATTAACCAACTGCAACTTTATCTCAAATGAATTAAATATCTTATGTTTATTAGACATTATAGTGTTATGTTTGCTAACTGTTAGTGTGATTATCATTATCATCATATTTTTTTAAGTTTATCTTATAATTTATGTTTATGAATTCAAATAAAACTGGCATCATTAACCTAGAAACAAACAAACATGAGAAAAACAAACAAAAGTAATAAATTTTTTTATTTTGTTTAATATTAGTTAAGTTAATATTAGTGTTTTTAGTTGTTGTATTCGTATTAAGCCTTAGATTAAACTGCTTTTTATATTAAAAACATAAAAATTACTACACTGCTTTTATATACAATATGTGTTTTGTTTTTTGTTCTTGTTTTCTTCTCTTTCTTCTTGTTCTTCTTCTTCTCGTCTCATCCAGGTATTTTTTGATTTGATGCGCGAAATAAGATCACGCAAGACCGAAGATTCAAAAGCGACAAGTGGGCGTGCAAAAGACAGATGCAAGAAGCGGAGACTTAAGTGTACACTACTTTAGGCAATAGGTGTGCCATTAACATAAAATACTAAACAATACTAAATTATTGCATACGCAAAAAAAAAATATATATATATGTATATATATATATATATATGTATATATATTTAAACAATAAGAAACTTTTTTGCTCAAGTAGTCTTAGTATAAATAATTAAAATATTTAATTGGCAAATCTCATTATTTTTTGTGATCTTCAAATATTCAAAATTATCTATATTTTATTTTTATTATTTTGTAATTTAATTTATTTTTTAATTCTGAAACTATTTTTCGTTTTTGGTTTTGGTTATTAAAATGAAGCAACATGAAGCAAAGCTCTAAGAGCAATAATTGTTAAGCTTTGTTTCCACTATTCAATCACTTAACCCATTGAGTTAACTGGATATGCATGGAACTAACAACGTTTAAGATTTTGTAAATATAAAATGGAAAAGTACAAATTTTTATGAAGTTGAAAAATAACTCCCAACTTTACCCTGAAAACTAATCTTATCTTTATTTACTAGCTAATAGTTAATCTATCTATTTGTCTCCCTCTTTGACTTTATATTTCTTCTATATTCAATATTCTAAGTTAAGTTTAAGATATCAATTAATTACTTCAAATAATTTAAAACTTAAGTCAATGTCACTTGGTTTGGCAATATACATTAAGACTGAAAAGTTTTCGGAAATTCTCATTTAAAATTCGCGCGCTGTATATTTTTCGATATTTTAAGTTTATGTAGTTTGGCAGCACTGTCCTTAATTACTATGCCAAAAATGAGCGCGATCTGTCAGACAGTTCGTTTACGGCAGCTGTTGAAACCAGTTCACCTCAGTAGTGCGTTGCGAAATGTCTTCGACGGTCGTACGACCGTCCTGAAAGGCTTTGTACCACTCATAAACTTGAGTTTTCGATAAAACTGATTCCCCATAAGCCTTTTGTAGCATTCGCAACGATTCTGCACACGAAATTTCGTTCGAAACACAAAATTTGATGCAAACTCTTTGTTCAATATTTTTTTCCATTGTTTTTTTCGCAACGCACTACTGAGGTGAACTGGTTTCAACAGCTGCCGTAAACGAACTGTCTGACAAATCGCGCTCATTTTTGGCATAGTAATTGTCCTTAATTGCTGCCAAACTACATAAACTTAAAATATCGAAAAATATACAGCGCGCGAATTTTAAATGAGAATTTCCGAAAACTTTTCGGTCTTAATGTATATTCATGTAATCACAATGAACCCGCTATTGAGCTTAAGATCTAAAATATTTATTTCGATTTATATGTAAATCGGTATCGATAGAGAAACAACCATCGTTTTACCAAAGCGGGCTTAATCGTCTACCATTACATATTCACTAAGTCGATTTAGTGCTCCGATTGCTACACACGCTGGAACTAAGTTTTATAAAATATCTATTGGTATTCTCTTTAAATGGATTAAAACTTTAATAAAAAATATAAAACTAATTTTAAAACTAATTACTTTGATTTAATTAAGATATTTAGATAAACGATTATGTATCGCTTCGTTAGAACTTTTGTATATATAGTAATTATTACATAATTGTTATAACATTTTTGCTAAAATACTGCACACAATTCATAACTAATAATTTAAAAATGTAAATAAAAATATTTTTTTAATTAATTTATATTTCGTTCTGCTTTTATTCACACTTGTAATACTCACAAACTTACACACCTACACACATGAACACTTCAATAGTCCTGAATTAAGTTTTTATCATTATTTCATATATCTATATATGTTATGTACTCTTGTATAAATTAATTTATATTTTCATTTCATATATTATTTATAATTTTTGGTACATATATTTTTTCCTTTACTGAGTTCCTTTTATTTATATTTATGTATATATTTCACTATTCTTCTCTAGCTTATTTGGGTTATTTTGAATTAATTTATAAAATTTGCCAAAAAAAAATTAAATTGAATCTTTGTCTTAAAAACATATTAAAATATTTTTATTAATTAAATTTTTTTCCTTCTTCCATGTTGCTGCATTTATTAGGTATTTTATGATCTTATCAGGGATATTTCATCGCGTAAGAAACAGCGTCAAACTGATGTTAAACAGCCGACAAAAACCAAATCTCTTTGCTGCCAATTGCTGTAATACCAACAATTTCAACTACAAATATAAACCACACCAACCACAACATTTCATTATAACTTAAAACAACAACAAAAACAACAACAAGAACACAATATAATAAGCATAAATTTTATATTTGGTTTATGAAAATGTTAAGCTTGCAATAATAATAAAAACTTAAATAAATATATTTATATAATTATTCTTATTATTATTATTATTATTATTATCATAATTATTATTATCATTAAAATTATAATTGTTTTCTTTTGCTTTAATAACATAAATTACATACACTCCGCTCCGTCTGTAGTTACCAGAGATAACACAAAAAGGATTTGTTGAGACTCAATAAATCCTATTTGTGTTATTAACTGGAGTTGTAAAAGAACTCAAAACAATATCAATTCAAAACAAAAAATATAATATAACAATTTTTTTTTTAATTGATTTTTAAATAAGCATCAAAATAATTTATAGCTAATTATCGATAAAGATGTAGGAAACAAGATAGTTGTATTGCAAACAATTTGAAAAGGCATTTGTTTTATCATTTTTAGTCTCAGATTCAGATTCGGACTCAGTTGATCTATTATGTATATTAACAAAAAAAAAATTCTTTACCAAGTTAGTTGCTATAAGTAGTAAATTAAAAACGAAAATGCTTGAAACTAAAATATTTACAATAACACAGTACAGTATAATTGAAAATATTATTAAATAAAAAATGTAAAACGAAATTTAAAAAAAATATACTTTTTTGTAATTTAACAGTTTGTAATTTTCTATACAAAAAAAACTGATTTAACGAACAAATAAAAACTATTTAAAAAAAATTTACAAATTGTATATTTGAAAGTTAAAACAAAAAAAAATGAGTGTTTGTTTAGTGAAAATACTAAAAACGATTTTTGTGCGTATTGTATTTTTTAAGTAATTATTATTTTTAGATTCTAGATTTAAAAAATATTTGTATTGTTTTGCTTGTATTGTATTCAAAAAAAAATTTTTTTGTTAGTAAAATGTAAAAGAAAACTAAATCCCTGGGATATATCAATATTATTATTAAAATATTATATATAATATTTACACCTATGCATTAAAATTTTATATTATTTTTACTATCGTATACTTTAAATTTTTATTATAGTTTTTAAATAAAATAAAAATAACTAAAATTATAAAAAAAAACATCAAAAATAAACATTTAAGTAATAAAGAAAAGAATGTAAACAACAAAAACACTAAAACAATCCGTAATTTATAAATAAACATTGCTATAATAATAATTGCATTTTTTTTAAGAGAAAAGAAGAAATGATAAATTAACGAAATTATACAAATTCACAATTATTAGCTTCAATAAATGAACATTACGAAAAAATAAAAAAATCATGTTTTTTTTTTTTTAATTATTTACATTGATAAGAAACAATGCCTATTGTTAGTTAGTTACTTCACTGCAATTTTATATATTTTATAAAATAAGTCTAATTATAGCTACAATATCATTGATTTTTAACTACAAAATATATAATATACAATTTATTTATTCAGATATACTGCATTAAATACATACCTTCTCTTATTAACATTAACATCGCGAATCTTTATGGGACCACATGATGGACAACGTCATGGGTTTGTGCGCACCCTTTAAAACATGTAACTTGAGTCCATTATATACTTCCTTATCTTATGTTAGTCTTAACTATTTTCACGAAATTGATATTTGCTTTTTATACATTTAACTTTTTTGTTTGTTGAAATAGCTTTTATCTTTCCTATCCTGCTGTCCCCATTTCTAGGTTACAGTAGAGTACTGCAATAACACCATCCCGTAACCACTTGTCTGCACAGATGACTAAGAGTTGCGCAGTACCTTCAATAGAAACAAAATCACCATCACCAGATACGTATTTGTCTGACATTTGTTGTGCAACCTCCTATATTCCATCTTAACTAGTGTATTTGTGTTCTAACTAATCCATTAATTTTTCCTGCCCTACAGATATCTACGGGTTCCGGCACATCGCAAATATAAAATTTGCCAACAAGGTCTGTTATGGATAAACTATAAACTATAAACTGTATAGTATACAAGTAGCTAAGTAACTTGTCTGAAAAGTGGATGCATCTTAACCATAAATATTAGAAACAATAAATAAAAAAAACTCATAATTTTTGAAATATAAAAAAGACTTAAAATTTGTTTTAATTAAAAAAATGTTTATATTTTTTATTTGTAAAAAATCAAAATGACACAATATTTTTATTTTGTTTGTTTTATGTTTAAAATTCTAATTTTAAATTAAAAGTAATAAACAAAAAGGACATCAGCAACTTAATTTAGTATTTTCATTTAATTTTAAGTGAATAATTCATTAACACTAAAATTAAAATAATTTAAATTATTAAATAATATATAAGAAATAATTTTACTTTGTTGATAATGTTTAAATTACTTAACTAAAATTATTTATGGTCGTTGAATTGCTTACAATATTTCACTCAAATATTATTGCTTCTATAAACTTAAAAATTAACTTAAAACGTAATAGCAAAATTGTTTAATTTAATTTAAAAAAAAATTATCGAAAAATTACAAAGATTTTTTTTATATAATTTTAGCTTTAGGTTTTTATTGAAATACGTTTCAGTTTTGTATTTTTTGCTTACATTATTATTATTATTATTATTTATTTATAAACAATAATTTAAATTGTTACGTCTTATTTACTTTAATAACTACAATTAAATAATGTACAAAAAGTAAACTTACACTGAAAAATCAAAGAATATGCACAATTTTGATATTTCATTTATTTTTTACTTACATTTATAATAAATTTTATTAAAGTTTTATTATTGTTAAGAAGTTTTCCATTTATTGTTATTTTTTTACTTATTAAGTGATTGTTACTTGTTTATTGTTACAAAAATTTTGTGTGAAAAACTAGGGAGTTTTTATTAAAATGTTTATGTTCATATGATTTGGAGAGATATCGATCGATCAATACACACGGATATACTTTTTGAACTCATAAAATATTAAAAGAAAAAAATAGTTTATTTTGCATGACTGTTGCATATTTGTTTAGTTATTTATAAACAAAATAATTTTATAAAATTTTAAATCTGTATGAAAACATTTATTTATTAAAATTAAATACACTAGTTAATTGAGATAACGGATCACTCATAGTGGGATGTCATATTTATATGTGATTATAATTAAAATGCTTCCTCGACATTTTTATTATTTATGTTATAAAACCGATTCGCTATTTTCATTTCCATTATGATCGAATTTTGGTTACTTTTATAATTGTTTGTTGTTTATATCAAAAAGTTATAACAATTATTAAAAGGATAATGCTATAATTGCTGTTCAAATTGTTGTTGTAATTTTAAACATAAAGAATAATGAATATCAAAGATATTAAATTGCTAAGCCAACACTATGTATCTAATTTGATTCCAGGAGCACACAGCCATTCCTTTATCGAAACGAGTAAGTCTTGATAATCCCTTCCAATAGACAGCATATCAGCAGGCACCTTCAGCAAAACTGATATACTATTTTATGCTGTTCAATTTTGCGATCTCAAAGTCAACTGTAAGACAAAGTAATATTCTTGGACTTAACCCACGGTTAGAACTATTATTGTTGCGTATGCTGTGAAGATGTACATTGCAGGAAGCATAAATGAAATCAAAAGAATATTAGATTACGATGGGTGTGGGTGAAAGTAATGCGGAAGATAGAGAAGTTAGCACTAATAGCCTAAATAATGCAAATCAATACTGATTCTTTATATGTACTCAATCTAATTAAAGGAATAATACTTTAATTAGGTAGACTTTTAAGAATAGTATCGTGTATTGGTATTCATATATATACACAGCTATATATAATTTTGGATTTGATTTAGTGTATTAAAATAATAATTATCATTATTTCACTATTTGATTTTTTTAATGTCAATACTTAAGTATTTTCATTATTTATATGATATTATGATAATTGTTATTGACACTGCTCTTATTAATTCTTTATACACATATCCCAATTACTAATGTATAATTATAATTTTTATTAAATTTATCATATCTCTGCATTTTTCCGTATAAATGTTCTGCATTCATTTTTCTATTTATAAGTATTAAAAGATAGCTTTAAACTATTGTATTTGCAATTATTGTTCTCATTTTTATATTGTAAATTTTTTTATATTGTATATTTTTAAATATTTTTTAATTCAGAATATAAGAAATTTTTATTTTTCGAATTTATTTGGTTTTGTTCATATATTAGCATGACTTCTTATATTTTTGTAAAATAATTTTCTGTTCTCTTTCAATTATCGTCGGATAGGCACTATTTTCTTTTAAGAAAGTAAAATGAATAAATAACTTGTTTTTTATTTAATATATATATAAAGTTTTAAAATTGTATTTAAAATAATTACATTTATTTTTATTTATTGTTGTTGCTTAACCCTTTTTAAGTTTACTGATATATTTTGTATTAAATTATTTCATGCTTTTAAAATTTTTTTGTATTTTTTCAAAACTTCTTTTTCAATTTAAACATATTTTTTTTTTCTTAATGTACATACTTTTTTTTTATTTTATTTCTTATTGTTTATTAGAGGTTCTTAAAGAAAAACTAATTACTCATATATATTTTTATTTAATATCTGTTAATTTAATTATGTAAATATCTAAAATTATTTCTTAAACAACAAATACTTTACACTTATTTATATTAAAAAATATTAAATAAAAATATTAAATATAATTTTTTAGTACCGGTTAAGTAAATTAAGTATGTTTATATTAATATTAATATTATTATTATTATTTATATTAAATTATTTCGTTTAATTAACGGTGGTTGGCTCAATTCATTGCTTATGAATTTTATTTAATTTTTTAATTTTTTTTTTTAATAAGAAACTTAATTAATTTACTTAACTTGTTTACGTAAAATTCACGCACATAATTAATTACAATAAATTACGCAATAATTAAAAAACAATTTTACATATATTAAAAATTAATTAAATTTTTAAATTTAAAAATCAATTATATACTATTTGAAATATTAATTATGCTGTTAAAACATAAAAATAAAATATTTATACAACTCTTAATTAATGCAAATCGTTTCGCAGCAAATTATTTTTTTCTTAAATCCATTTTACCAGTAGCAATATTTTTTAGCTGGATATGTTGTATTAGTTAAAAATTAATTATTTACACTTCAGTTTGTGGCGAAATTATTTTGTATTAATATTCATAAAAAATGTTTCATTGCATTTATGCTTAGAGTAAATGCAAAAATAAAACATTTTTTTTTTAATATTTTAATTATATTTTTGTGAGATCATTAAAATATTTGTTTTATTTTTTATTTAACTTAAAAGTATTTTTTCAGCTATATTAAAAAATATTAATACAATTTTTGTGTAACTTTTTTTGGCAACTCTTGAAAAAATTTATTTATGTTTTTTAAAAAAAAAAAAATTGTAAATTAATAGAATTAAAGCCTCTTTACAATTAATTTTCATTCAAGCTAATTTAAATTTCTATAGCATTAAACTAAGTATTAATCGAAGTCGTGCTAGAAAAAGAAATTAAGAGTTAATTTCACAGGCTCAAGTCACTTTAGTATGACTTCAGATAAGTAAAGAATGTCACAAAAGTAAATAAGTATTAGATAGTAATATTTTTTTGAATCAAATATGGTTCCTTAATTTTTATTTGTATATGAAAACTTAAAAACATTTGAATTTGGAAGAAAAAGAAACATTTGGGGTGGCAAAAAAAAAACATTTGAATTTGGAAGAAAAATAAACATTTGGAGTGGCAAAAATATTGCACAAAAAATCAATATATAATAATAATAATATATAATTGTTATAATATAATATATAACATATAATATATAATTGTTTTTCGACTTAAGTTAATTGATCAACTTATCTTGAGTTAAGTCAGCATTAAGACTCAAGTTGTGACTGTGAAATCTGTCGTAAGAATTTTTCTCCTTATCTAAAAAAAGTCATTCATTGATTTTATGAATATTTGAATATTATACCAGAACTGCCTACATCTTTAAAAATTCCTTTGAAAAATTTTACTTAATTTTAATTTAAAATCCATATATGTATGTCTCCCGAACTCAAATATGTGAAAGCACTTTTAGAAAAGAAGATGTCGTGGGTAAAGGGGGTATAAACAATATCTTAATATTTTTATAAAAATAAATAAAATGGAAAAGACAAAACATAGTCTACATCATTGCGTCTCAACCCACTATGGAAAGTACTATGGATTGGAAAAATATTCAATACTAATATCATCCAAAAAAAATAACATTAAGGACGTAATATATAGCCCGATTAGACACCTGAGACTATAAATCAAAAAGTTAGTTAGTTAGTTGAAGTGGAGAGAGGAACGTATCCTCCTCAATTAGCTAGAAACACACCATTCCTTTCCTTAGCTTTGAACACACCATTCCTCGTAATAGTGGGTACAAAGGTCGAACTAGAACCAGCCAGAAACTTTTATAAAGGCAAGAGTCTGGTCAATGCTATTATCGTTAAGCCTAGTTCTGGCCTGGCCTGGACATAAACATGCTGGTTAGACTCATATTATTTAAATTTGAATTTTTCACTAACACAAGTTCGGTTCACTTAGTCTGCTGTCTTGATTTTAAAATTTTTAATGAATTAAAACATATATTTTTGTGTTACCAAGAAAAGTTCACTAATTATGCTCACAAACATCTTCAGTGGCGGCGACAGCATTTGTAGATTCAATGCTGGAACCACTTACATTAGCCACCGCAGCCGCAGCCATTGCAGCAGCAACATTGACATGACGCAACATTATATCTGTTTCTGCAGAAACGGTGCTCGGCATGCCTTTGCCTAAACTACTTAAATTCAATGCAGCTGCGCTCTCAGCGGCAGATACACTGTACTCCTGCGCAGACAATTTTAGAAATTGCTCATACGCAGTGAGACGACTTGTTGGATTGATTGCTATGTCATGCGAAAGTGCTTCATTGCTGGTGTTGGTGTTGGTGTTGGAGTTGCTGGTGCAATTGGTTGCTTGTGCATGGAATACTTTAGCTGCAGCAGTTGCGTGATATGGCGGCGGAGGTGGACGTTCGTTAATTTGTTGCTGTTGTTGTTGTTGCTGCTGTTGATGATGATGATGTGTTTGTTGCTGTTGATGTGGGTGATGATGTTGTAGGTTGCTGTTGCTAGATACACTTGTCGTTACAAGCTCACTGGACAGTTGACATGTTAGCGGCAAGTCATGTTTTTTACGTAACAAATTGTTGCTGCCGTGGCTATTGTTATTGTTGTTCTCAATCATATTGCCCAAATTGTTCTCAGCAGTGTTATTAATTTGAATCTGTTGTTGTTGTTGTTGCTGTATGTCAGTTGCTGTTGTGGCGAAAAGATTGTCTTTAGTTTGCTGCTGCTGTTGTTGTACAACAGTAGCAGCAACTGCAGCACCTGCAGACATATGCGAGTTAGCTAAAGGTGGCGGCGATGTCGGCGATTGTTTTATAATTGTTGTAGTCAAATCGCTGCTGTTTAAATAATTGTTATTGTTGTGTTCAATATTGCCAGTGGTGTCTTTTGTCAGTGTGTTGGCAGCATCTTGTAGGACACTACCAACCACATTGTTTGTACTGTCAGCTATGCCACCCGTCGCTGCAACCAATTCACTCACTTCGTGTACACCTCCAACATTGCTACTATTATTGCTGCTTATGTTCATATTATGAGTGAGGTTAGCATTTATTGCAGATAGTGTGGGCAGTTGGAGCTCATGCTATTCCTTTATTAAACGATAGATATGATGAGTTGCGCCACTATTTTGTGCTGCCACTTCGAATACGTAGGCTATGCATAGCAGTGTTTCCTGTGTATCGCGGGCTTGCATTACCTAAACACCGAGCAATTATTGAATAAAATTAGTTAACATTATTATTATTTCCTTCAAATTCGAACACTTACTTGCAGTATTGTAAAGTTCTCCAGTACACTGTTCATCATATAACGTTCAGGTAAATTCTTTAATTTTTGTATAAAATTGATCATGTATTCGCACATGGGAGAACGATGAATGCGGTACACAAAACGACCGTTTTCCAAACGTGAGTATTCCGTTTCCACTTTTTCCACAACTTGCTTACCAAAAGAACAAACTTTTGTGGAGCAAATGAGCACAACATTTTCATTGCTTTCATATCTACAAGTAAAGGGAAAAGTAATCAGTATTTGTTGATGAATTATGTGTGGTTGACTTACTGGCTGGTTACACCATAAAAGTCGCCTGTTTCACTGCCTGTAATATCGGTGTTTAAGTCCGCCCAACATTTTACCAAGTAAAATGCATTTTGTGGACCCTTTTCATAGAGATCTTTAAGACCACCCGATTTCTCTGGGAATTTATCGGAGATTTGCCGTATATCAACAGCCTGTAATTTGAATACATAAATCATTTACATGTACTCTACACATATGTATGTATATATATATGCGAGAAATATCTTAACTTACCTCAAGTAATGGATCGGAGAATGATGGTTTGCCGCCAAGCTGTACAAACAAATGCCGGTGAAACTGTATGAAAAAAATTGATTAAGTGATTGATTGAAAAATACGCATTATTGTCATTTACTATTTCGTCTCTTTGCATTTCCATGAACGCAGAAAACTCTAGTAGCCTAAATTTGTGCGTCGCTATCGCTCGTCCTTCCCATGGCAGTTGTGCTGGTGGAAGACCTGCTTCAATATCACCAGATACAGCTGTTGATGGTTTGCCGGCGGGATATGGTGGTTGTGCAAATGGCTTAATGCTGTAATCATAGAAACTAAGGTCAATGCAAATGAGAGAGATAACTGTATAAATGTTAGTTCAACTTACTCTTGTGAGGTGCTCGGCTGTAGACCAGGCTGCCAAAATTGCTATAGGCGAAGAGGTAAGTAAAA